AAAAGAGAGCCTGGCCAGGCGTGGCTCAGTGGTTGAGCATCGAGGTCATGATGAACCAGGAGGTCACGGTTTGATTCGGTCAGGGCACTTGCCTGGGTTGCAGGCTTGATCCCCAGTAGGGGGCGTGCAGGAGATAGCCAATCAACAATTTTCTGTCATCACTGATGTTTCTATCTCTTTTTCCTTCTCCCTTCCTTTCTGAAATCAATAAAAATATATTAAAAATAAATATATAGAGAAAATAGTAGGCGCTATTAAATCCACACAAAAATATAAATTAACAGCATTCAGAAAGATTTAGGAAAAGGCTTCTCTTTTAGGAGCCTGTTCTACTAGATGAGGAACATTGTGGGGATTTGTTTTTTAAATATTTGACTTTTTAAAAATATATATGAGCTTTCTTCACTAGAAATAGCTCTGTTTACCTACAGACAAGATATAAATCCAACCTTTAACCTAGTGTCTTGTCTTGATTTTAAAAAAAAAAAGGACTTCATTTCCATTCCAACATGTATGAAGCTTGGAACTCTCCCCTTAACAAGTAAAAAGCTGAACAGACTGAAAAATCAACAACTTTTAGGATCCACAAGAGAGGTGAGGACACAGGCTGCCCCAAGACTGGAGAAACCAATAAGAGAATACAGAGAAGGATAAGTTACCAAAGCAGAGACTCACAATGGGAAACCACTCTTGGGAACCAGAGCCAGGGTTTGGGAACCAGAACTGTAATTGACCAATTGCTGGAGGCTCAGCATGGATAACTCTGAGAGTTAAAAACTCCAGGAAGATCCATCATATGGGGGTCTCTACATTTTGTGAGATTTACCTCCAGGAGCTTGACCAGATTTCCACAATAAATATCACAGAAAAATCCCCAGGTGTTTCCAGGGCTGGAGAAAAGGAACCCTTTTTTTCTTCTTTTTTTAAATCCTCACCTGAGGATATTTTTCCATTGATTTTTAGCAAGAGTGGAAAGACAGAAAGAAACATCGATGTGAGAGAAACACATCGATTGGTTGCCTCCTGCATGAGTCCCGACCAGGGCCCAGGCAGGGGAGGAGCCTGCAACCAAGGTACGTGCCCTTGACTGGAACCCAACCTGGGGCCCTTTGGTCTGCAGGGCGATGCTCTATTCACTGAGCCAAACTGGCTAGGGCAGGAACCATTTTAAATATGCCACAGCGCTTTACTCTTATTAACAAGGCCTGACCTCTGGGAAAACTAGTTAACCAGAGCCTAACCTGCAGGGATATTCTCAGAGCCCAAATCTAGCACTCTAGCCCAACTTAAGACTTTAAAGCTACAGTAATTTAGACATTGTAGTTTTGGCAAAAACAAACAAACAAACAAACAAACAAATCAATGGAACAGATTAGAATGCCCAGAAATAGACCCTGATAAATACAATCAACTGATTTTTGACAAAGGAGCAAAGGCAATACAATGGAGCAAAAAAAAAGTCTTTTCAATAAATGATACTGGAACAACTGGACATCCACATGCAATACAACAACAAAAAAGAATATAGACCCAGACCCCACAACCGTCACAAAAACACAAAAATTAACTTAAAATGGGTCACAGATATAAAACCAAAGGCATGATCCATGAAAGAAAGAATAAGCTGGACTTCATTAAAATAAAAACTTTCTGCTCTTCAAAAGACACTGTCAAGATAATGAGAAAGAAAAAAAAAAAAGACCACAGAATAGGAAAAAATAGTTGCAAAATAAACATCTGATAAAGTACTGTTACTCAAAATATACAAAGCACTCTTAACAATAATAACAAGAACAACCTGATTTAAAAATGGACCAAAAACCTTAAGAGACACCTCACCAAAGAAGATATACTCGTGGCAAATCTTATTCGATACTGAAGAAGAAATTAGCTATCACATCATGAAAAGAAATGGAGAAAATTTGAATGCATGTTACTAAGTGAAAGAAGACAATCTAAAAAGGCTACATACTGTATGATTCCAACTATAAGTCATTCTAGAAAAGGCAAAACTGTGTTGACAGTTCAAAGAATAAGTGGCTGCCAGGGGCAGGGGGTGGGGGGGAAGGATGAATAGGTGGAGCATAGAGGACTTTTAGGGCAGTGAAACTTCTCTGTATTATACTGCACTGGTGGGCACTTGTCATTACCCGTATACTAGTACATTCGGCCAAACCCATGGAATTCAAAACACCAAGCGTGAGTCCTAATGTTAACCATGAACTTTAGGTAATTATGATGTGCCATTGTAGGTTCATGGGCTGTAACAAATGTACTACTCTGATGGAGGATGTTGTTAATGATGGAGGCTATGCGTGAGTGGAGGTATATGGCAAATCTCTGTGTATTCTGATTAATTTTGCTGTGAACCTAAAACTGTTCTTTAAAAATTTATTAGACTAAGAAAACCATTAGTTGAAAAAATAAAAAAAAAAATTGGAAAGAGGATTTGTTCTGCAAATTCTTCCTTTAAAACTTGGAATCTGTAGGCAAAACAAAAAACCAAATTTGGTGAAGACAGCCCCTCCCATTGTTAGCACATAGACTTCTCTATCAAACTTTGGGTCTAAATGGCACATAATTGAACTTCAGCATGCATGTGCAAATGATTATTAATTTCCCTCTGAGATGTTAGAGTGTGTGCCTTAAAGGTCACTAGCTTTCTCATAGTCAGAGGTGCAGGATAGTGTTTAACAGCATGATATTACAACAGCCCATTCAGGTGTCTGAGGTCAGACCTTCTTTTGTCTGGCCTATGGAGATTGGATCACACAATGATTTGGGATTGTCAGAAACCCCGAATTTTCAGCCTCTGCCCCAAGGATGGCCATGAACTGAATCCTGGACAATTCCTTAACTATCTTGTGTCTTACTCAGTCTTCACTCTGGTAAAAGACTAAACCAAATGCAGGCCACTTCCAGCCCCAAACTCTGATTCTATAAGGTATCTTTTTATTATGTTTTCTAGGGTGGTCAGGGGAATACCTAATTTCCTGGATGCCTATTTCAAAGATGATGCTTTCAGATACGAAGTGACATCTCTGTTCTTCCTTGGTTAGCCTTGTTTTACCTCACTTTTTTTTTTTTTTTAAAGATTCTGCATTTTAGCAATAAATGTTGTGGCCAGCATGTTTCCTTCAGGGAATAGCTATTGAATGCCAATATGGTGGTCACTGGTTGGTGCTGGGGATGATTAAAGCAAAGACGTGAGATATTGGCAGACTGTCAAGGGAGGCACATGTTTCAGGGGTTTCTAATGGAAATGGCCAAGACAGGTGCGAGTGTTGTTAAAGAAGCTGTCTGGCTGGTGGTCTGCCCAACAGACCTCATGGGGGGTGGCATTTATTACTTTGGAGAACTTTCCACACTCTGGTGTCTGTTGCCAGCCTTCCAGGCTGAGAAGCCATAGGTTTAGTGTGCATGCTAAGCGTTGATCTGTCTTTTCATTCATTCATTTAATCAACATTTAATGAGCACCAACTATGTACTAGAAAATGTGTCAGAACTCTTTCAGTTAAAAATGATGGAAATTCAAGTTAGATTTTTGTATGCCAAGAAAAGGGGATGTGGGAGTCTCATCATACCGGGAAACTTGGGCCTGGGTAGATTCAGGGGTTCAAAGTTAAAATGTTCTCCATCATTTGGCCCTGCTAACCTCTACTTGGCTTCATTCTCCAGATTTCCTGGGCGAGGGACATTCGCCTACAACATTCGTATACTAGTACAGCTCATGATCCCGGAATAAGATGGACCCTCTCCTTCTAAAGCAGCCATCCAGCAGATCTCAGGGAGGGGCACTGATTGGCTCTGCCAGTGTCAAATATTCATCCCCGAACCAATCCCTGTGGTCATTTTGCCAGGACCAGCACTGGGCCAATGTGAAGGTCCAGGTGTAGGAAGAAGCTGACATGGGAAATTGCTTGACACGTTAGAGAGGAACAGGGAGGCTGGAATGTAGCCAGTAAGAGCAGAGCAGCCCACAGTAGACTGGAGAGGCAAGGACCAGATCACCCACGGGCCCCATAAAGTGCAAAGCTTGCAATTTATTTTAAAATAAACAGTTTGGAGCAGCGGTTCTCAACCTGTGGGTCGCGACCCCTTTGGCGGTCCAACGACCCTTTCACAGGGGCCGCCTAAGACCATCCTGCATATCAGATATTTACATTACGATTCATAACAGTAGCAACATTACAGTTATGAAGTAGCAACGAAAATGATTTTATGGTTGGGTCACAACATGAGGAACTGTATTTAAAGGGCCAGAAGGTTGAGAACCACTGGTTTGGAGTGTCCTGATTGGAGGTTGGCCAACTCAGAACACCCATCTGGAAGGCATTGCAGAATCGAGAGAGAGGAGAGAAAGAGAGAGAGAGAGAGAGAGAGAGAGAGAGAGCCTGGACTGTCAATCTCAGCATCCCTTCCGTGCCTACGGAGAACCTGTACCAGGGAACCTAACAGAGACTTGGCTCGGCTGTCTGAGTGGCGCTGTAACTGGTCTGGAAGCTGGTACGTTCTGCAACAGGGTTTCCGCAACCGGAGCAAACGAACTACAGTGGGGCCTTGACTTACAAGTGTCCCGACTAATGAGTTTTTTGAGATACCAGCTGTCTCTCCGCTGATTTTTTGCATTGAGTTGATAGAGTAATTTGAGTTAACGAGCTCCTTAACGAGCTCGGTCTCGGAACGAATTGAACTCCTAAGTCAAGGCCCTTGACACACGGAACGGCTGGTCAGCAGCGCGCTGAGTCTGGGCACACACGGGTCTCTGGCTTCTGTCTCTAGGGTGGAGCGTGCTTGTGGGCCCCTGGGGTGTGTCACGTCGCCTTGGCAACCAGAGAACCTGCAGGGAGGGGGCGGGGACGGGGCTCCCCCACCGGCCTCTGCATCGGGTGGGCTGGGGCAGGGCGCGGGCGGTAACTCATCCTTCTGCCATCGCGTCCAGGCCAACAGCGACCCAGCTAGGGCCGGCGCCCCGCGCAACCGGAGCTTCCTGGGCCCCCATGAAGAACCAAGAGTTTTTGGGTTCATCGGAGCTATCCGATGGGCATGATACGACAGAAATATCCACTAGCTCGAAAGCTTCCCAGGCACCGTTAGTAGAAGGCCTCCTGACAGCGCTTGACGAACAGGAGCCGGAGCCGGACCCGGAGCCCCAGCCGGAGCCGGAGCCGGGGACGGAGCCGGGGACGGAGCCGGAGCCCAAGGTGTCGGAGGCAGCCGATGAGCAAGGCCAGCTAGAGGAGAGCGAGGAGATCCCCGAGCCCTCCGAGTCCTATGAGCCATACATACTCTGTGAACCCTCTGACCTCCACGTTCACGATGCTCCCTACGAACCCTACGACAACGACGAACCCTATGATCCCTACGAGCCTTACCACTACGAGCCCTACGAGCCCCAGGAGCCCCCAAAGCTCCGTGTGCCCCCTAAATCCAAGGGCTCCCGCAAGGCCCACAAAGCTGAGCTGCCTCACGGCGCCGCCATGACGATCGCTCCGACTCCGGGGACCAGAAACCTGCCGCGGACTTCCCTGACTTACCCGAGCGGTAGGTGTGGGGGCCCCTCCAAGGCACTGAGCAACTCGGCCAAACCTAAAACGGGGGGTCCTCATGTGGAAATTTGAACGCTCCTTTTGTTTTAAAGGAAGATGACTTTTGTGCCATTCACCTACTTCTGTTCCTGGGGGGAAATTGAGACTAGTCCCCAGAGAAACGGAATCGCTTGTCTCTGCTCCCTCCACCTGATGACCTCCTAGCTGTCTTGATTATCCATCGTTGCTTCTTTTTGAAGCCCTTCGCAATTCTTCTCTACAGTTAGTTACTGCATTCCTCTGGGTTGCCCCTTTGAACATGACCTCTGTTATAGCACTTGAGAATTTGTATTTCATCATTATGTTTCTCCCCAGCTAGAGGGATCATTAAAGAGAGGATATTTTTGTCAGTGTTTGGCACATGGTGACAATCAAGAAATGCTTAGCTATTATATTGTGAAAGTTGTAGTAACAAAATACTCACGGAGCAAGTAGTCAAAGAGTACATTTACCAAGTAAATGCTTACTATATGCTCAATCCTCACCAAGTTCACAGGGTAGCAGGGCTGATGGGACTTGGGTGTGAGCATCCTTTGCTCTGATCACACCAGCTCACTTCTGACCTCTCGATGATGACCCCACCCAAAGCAATTAAATCTCATATTCTTCTTGACTCCTCTTTATCAGCCTGGATTTTATGGCCTATTGTTCCAGTTGCTCACATAATCTATCACCCCACTGGCTCTTTGGCAAACCACCATACTTCTCCTGGCAAAACCCCAACCCTGGTTAACCCCAACCACCCACCTTCTGCCTACACCTGAGCAGGTGACTACTGCTGTACGAAATTCCATAATCATATTGTGTGCTTCTATTTCCGTTTCATGACCACTAATCACAAGTGGTCACTTGGCACTACCTAGCAAACCCACTTTATTCACCTAGTTACTTCTCACTCCTCCATCCTTCATACCTTTGACTCTCAAACAGCTGAAGATCTTGAAGGAGAGACATATATCATTTTATACTCCATGGTCCACCAATGGAATTACTTATTCCTTTGCAAATATCCTTAACTCCCTTGCCAATTCTTGTCTGCACTTGGAAAAACAGATGATGACAACAAAAAAACAACTATTCTGATCTTGAAATTCATGATCTCAAACTTAGAGGTAGGCTCTCGGTGCTGCTTGGCAATCATACTGCATGTCCCTAGTCAGCTCATTTTCCAACACAGAAACTATCAAACTACCAGCAACCTGTCTATGCACTCTAGCTTTTCTCCTGTTAATAATGGATGAACTGTTTTTGTTCCTATTCAAGGCCAATCTCCCAACCTGTAAGTTGGATCCCATCCCATCCAACTTTAAGCTGCCTTTCTCCTAAAATTAGCCTTCTCTCTCCTGCATCATTTTATTCCTCTCTCTACTGGATCATTCCCATCAGCACATGTACATGCAATAATAACTCCTATCTTAAGCAGAAAAACAAAACAAAACAAACTTCCCTTAACCCCATGTACTGCTCCAGGTACCACTTCTTTAGAGAAAAATTTCTCAAAATAGTTGTCTATAAGTCATTATTTCCATAGCCTCTCTTCCCATTTTCTTGAGAACACCCTGAAGCTTTCATCTCCTTTATTTAGCGGAAGTGGCTCTTGTTGAAGTCTCAATGACCTCTGCTTTGCCAAATTCAATGGTTCATCCTTCATCCTCATCTTACTCACTTGACACACATTACCTCTTTCTTGGAAGTCTTTCTTTATTTGACTTTGGGGTTAACCACTGCTTTCATTGTCATCAGACCTCATCAACTATTCCTTACTCAGTTTCCTTTGCTTCTATTCCCAGACTTTAGGCGAAAGTGAGTGAGGGATCAGGTTTTTTTTTTCAGAGTCTTTAGAACTTTCCTTGTTCCCTGAGTTATGTCATTGGTTTCATGGCTCTAATTATATGCTGGTAAGTTCTCAAAATATCTCTAGCCTCAATTCTTCCTTAAACTCCAGAGTTTTATAACCAATTGCTTAACGTAACTAGTAAGCATGTAAAATTTAATGTGTCCATATCTGAAACTCTTACTTCTGCACCCGTTTGTTCTTCCCCCATTGTTCCCCATTTTAGCAAATGTTACCCCCATTCATTCATCCAGGTGCTCAGGTTGAAAGCCTTGAAGTCATTCTTGATACCTGTTTTACTCTTACAGCCTGCCTCCAAATGATGAGCAAATCCTAATTTTGAAATATATCATGACTATGGCCATGTCTTAACATCTTAAACCAATGTCATTTTAAAATAATTTCTTTTTATTGATTTCAGAGAAAGGAAGGGGGAGAGAGAATGAGAGAGAGAAACATCCGATACCCGCAATCTGGGTATATGCCTTTTGGTGTATGGAACGACGCTCCAACCAACTGAGTCACACCAACCAGGGCAAACCTTTATCATCTTTGTAAGTCACTATCTTTTGCTTGGTCCACTGCAATAGCTTCTACTCTTGCCCCATTCTCCCTCCACCTTCCCATCCCAGTTTATTGTACATATACTAGTAGTGGTCACAGGGATCCCTTAGAACAGTGGTTCTCAACCTGTGGGTCGCGACCCCTTTGGCGGTCGAACGACCCTTTCACAGGGGTCACCTAAGACCATCCTGCATATCAGATATTTACATTACAATTCATAACAGTAGCAACATTACAGTTATGAAGTAGCAACGAAAATAATTTTATGGTTGGGTCACAACATGAGGAACTGTATTTAAAGGGCCAGAAGGTTGAGAACCACTGCCTTAGAACATAAATTATATGCAACTTTCCTGCTTTATACTCTTCAGAGAGGTTTCTCATTTTACATTGTTTGTAATCTAAAATTCTTAGCAGGTCTACAAGGCCCCACATGATCTGGCCTCTGCCTGCCTCCCCAATCTCATATGCCATCACTCTCCCCACCATCACTGCTCTTCAGCCACGTGGGCCTCCTTGCTTCCACCTCACAATCATTTCATTTGCTCTTCACTCTACCAGGACACACTTTCCTCAAATATTTGTCACCTCCTTATAAAGCTGTATCAGATCACTCTGCTCATTTTCTTTCTTTTTATGTGTGTGACTTTAAAAATATGTATTTTTATTGATTTCAGAGAGAGGAAGGGAGTGGGAGAGATAGAAACATCAATGGGAATCATTGATTGGCTGCCTCCTGCATGCCCCCTACTGGGGATCAAACCCACAACCCGGGCATCTGTCCTGACTAGGAATCGAACCATGACCTCCTGGTTCATAGGTGGACACTAGGCCGGCCCGCTCCGCTCTGTTCATTTTCTTTAAAGCACTTATCTATTTGTTTCCACTTACAAATGTATTTGTTTAAGCTGTCAGAGGGCAGGACTTTTTTGCTTTTGTTTTTCCTTTTTTTATTATTAAGGTATTACATATGTGTCCTTATCCCCCCATTGCCCCCCAACCCCCCCCCCCCTTATGCCCTCACCTCCCTGTTGTCTGTGTCTATTGGTTAGGCTCATATACATGCATACAAGTGAGGGCAGGACTTTTATGTTTTCTACTGTTTCATCCTCAGTGCCTAAAGTGGTGCCTGGAACAAGTAAGGACTTAGCATTTATTGTTGAATGAAAGTTCTCTTCATTCAGCTTCTGTGTTACCAAATCCAATGGTTCCTTCTCTATTGTTAGGGTTGTTAAGATTAAATGCATTAATACCAGTAAAGCATTTAAAACAGACTGTGGTACATGGTAAGTGCTCAGCAGATGTCAGCCGTTATTATTAGCAGTGTTGTTGTTATCTTACTTGACCTCTTGGCAGCATTTAATACAATTGACTATCGACCTCTTTCTCTTGGCCTCTATGACATCACAATCTCCCAGTTTATCACTGACCTGACTGGTTGCTGCTTCTCATTTACTGAGCCCTCCCTGTTCTCCTGAACTCTTAAAGGGCTGGATCCTGACCCTTTTCCTTTTTATTTTCACTTTCCCCCCTTAGGTGGTCATATCTATAATTATGGCTTTAAATAGCATGTTTATGCTGCTGCCTCTTAAATATATGTTCTTGCTGTACTCTCGCTTCTGAGCCCTACACTTATATATTCAACTGCCTATTGGACATCTCCATTTGGATATATCATAGGCATCTCAAATGTAATGTATTTTGAGACAGAAATCTTGATTTTCCTCCTATTCTTGTTTCCTCCTCAGTCTTTTAGCTAGGTGCTTGCAGAAAATGGCATCCAATTGCTTAAGCCAAAAAAAAAAAATCTATTTGTCCCTGGTTTCTCTTTCTTCACCCTCAAATCCAATGCATCCAATGCAAGTTCTGTTCATTTTCTCTCTAGAATATCTCCCAAATTCATGCATTTCCACTGCTAATTCTTGCCTCCCAATTACGGTCATTTCTCTCCTGGATTTCTACATTAGCTTCCTGAGCAGTCTCCCTGCTTCTACTCTTTTCATATGCAATCTCTTTGCTACTGCAGCCAGAGTGGGCATTTTAAAACCTCAATCAGATCACACCTTTCACTCACTATACAGCCCTTCCTATGATTTCCCATTCCTCTGCAAAAAGTTTGCGTTTATCCAAAGAGGCGTAGTTCTGCTCACTCTGCCCCAATCATAACTGACTTCTTTTCTGTTCCTCTGAAAGACCAATCTGAGTTTTGCCCCTGCTTCACAATCAGCACGTGTGGTTTCTCTCCCTAGATGCATATTGCTTTCCCCGAGTCATCTCATGGTTACTTCCTCAGCCCATAAAGGTTGAGCTTTTTAAAAGGTTGGCAAGCCTACCATTTAGCGGGCCTTCAGTGTCATACTGCCTAAAGTGGCCCCCCAAAAGTAGCTTGATGAGACTCGCTCTAAAAATTTTTCAGCCTGACTGGTGTGGCTCAGTGGTTAAGCATTGATCTATGAACCAGTAGGTCACAGTTCAATTCCCGGCCAGGGCACATGCCCCCAGTAGGGCACATGTAGGAGGCAGCTGATCAATGATTCTCTCATCATTGATGTTTCTGT